CTCTCTCTCTCTCTCTCTCTCTCTCTCTCTCTCTCTCGTCCCACTAGAGAGACTTGGAGCAAGTCCAGCTCCGCAGAAGAGAGTTTAAACTTATATTTGACAAATTCTTGGCCATTGGCAATGTGTAAACTTCCCAGCTCAGGCTGTTAGGCTAGGCTACTCTTACAATTTTACGGAACACTTGGTGTTATTAAAACACATAAATGTTGATAATTTCATGCAGCATGTAAGTGTGGTAACAGTAAACTTACACCTTATCCATAGGCCTATAAACTAAAACTAAAGTCTAAAACCAAATAACAAGCCAAAGTCTAAAACCCTGTTCATACTTTATATCACATTTCATAAAGGATGAATTGAGCCAAGAAGGTACCAGCTAAAGCTGTATGCCCATAACATTTATGGTGTACAGTAAATGTATACATTGAGTAGTGCTATTTATCTATCAATGTACTTTTTGACCGGCTATATGCACTATTATAAAATGAAGCATGTAAGCAAATGCTTTCATTTGCCAAAATTGTCAAGAGCGTTTACCAAACCTGAACAGGGTATTAAACCTTCCAAGGCACAGAGGAGCTGTAATTTAGCCAAAGCACATGTATTTATAGCTGATGAATTTTGAAAATCACAATAAATCATTTCTCAATCAACATAATTGTACTTTTTCACCCTTTCCAGTTCCTCTGTTCTTGTACCATATCAACTAATTAAACACAACATATATATTCAAAGTTTACCAAAAGCATTACATAAGTAAAGCACTTCAGAGTTCAGATACTTATTACCAATCTAGAATTAACAATTGCTTTAACAACATCATCAACAACAACTTAACCGAAACAGCAAATAGGTTTGCAGGAATACTTTGCATTGATGGGTTTCGATTTTTTAGGCAATCAACATTGATGTGGAATGTCTATTTTGCAGTCGCCCCAATTTCCAAATGGAAGCCATTTTGGCAAAAGTACCAATCTCTCTCCTGATGTTTGGTATCAACAAAATTTGGTATCAACAGAACTTGCAGTGTACATGCAGTGCAGACGAAGTTTTTTAAGGAATTTTCCACACCCAGCACATTTCCTAATATTGCCCTCGATGGTACGGAGTAAGAAAATAGCATTACTCGGCACAGGGTCTGGTTTATCAGATCGTCGCCTTGGTTCTTTTGGCAAAGGAACAGATTGGGAAATAGGCACATTTACCCGACTGTTGGTAATTGTGCAGAATGGTTGCTGTGCAATTTATCAACAAATTGTGTGGGAACATGATTGACAATTTGATTGTTACGTTTAGTTCCCACTTTTTTTACTTTCTCTCCTTTGCAACCACTAGCTTTTTTATTTATTCCGCCAACAGAGAGTGCTAAGCCAGTTGGATCATTACAAGAAACTTTTTTAGTTAACAATTGCAAATATGTGTTAAGTTTCCCAACTTTCTCTGCACATGCCACAGCATGTGAGCAAATTTTTGGCGAACATTTATACATTGGGCAATTACATTGAATTGCTCAATAATCGTTCTGCTTTCCTCCATATATTACCTAGGGTAACATCATGCAAACTCGAATTACTTATGCGTGCTTCTTGCCATGAAATTGATAAGTTTCATTAAGATAATCACCTGCATTAGTGTTGTTCTTACTTGAATCAAGTGATTTTTGTAAAACATCTTGCACATTAACACTCATAACCTTGGCAAAATGATTTTTCCTCTGATTTCATTCATTTTGTATAGCCAATCAATTTCTAAGTATTTTAAATCTTCAATAAATTTATAGTTTCCTCTTCGGAAAATCGCTAATTTAATCATTTCAATTTGACTGGATATGATGTTTTGAAGAGACAAAATAAAATCAGGAAGATCTTGTTTTTTGTATTGAACTCCCTCTTTTATGACATGATTTATCGATTCACTTCGATAGTTATAGAAAGGGAGTGGCGGCTTACCCAAACCAGCTTTTCCCCGCACTGGTGCCAGCATGCTCGAAAGGATTTCTGGAATTACGGTTTTGAACCATGCAATAAATCTATCAGGAACAATGGCGTGCCAAGCATCAATCAAAGAATTTAAAGTAGCTGTGAAAATATCTTCACATTCACAATCAATCAGACCACCATAGTGTGTATCTTCAATATTTTTACCAAATATGTCATTTAAAATCTTGTTCTGGTTTTCAAGAGAAACCCCTTTCAAGTGTGTTTTACAGTTTTCGCTGAAATGACCCATGCAGCGAACATGTACAGCACTTTTAAATTTCTTTCCAAAATGATTGTACAAAGCTTTCTCACCATCAGTACCAAATGCAATTAAATTATCTTCAAGTAATGGTGATTTCTGTGTTGTTACGAAAGTTAAATGGCTGTAGCAACTCTCATCTAAATTATGGCTAATCAGTACAGGTCCAAGAAATGTTGGGTGTTTTTTCGTTCTGTTTGATACCAAAAACAAATTTTCATATGACATTGGCGTGACATAAAATGCACCTAAGTTAAAAGTAGGATCAATGCTAAGAATGCTAAAATTAACAGGTGATGTGCAAAACCTATCTAGATCACGAAATTGTCTATCATAACCAAGAACAAGAAGTTCCGGATCGTTGTATGCAGAAATGTGGCGTATAAATCTATTTTCAGTATTTTTTGCGCATCTTGCTCTCGGACCATAGCAACGATATCATAAAAATTCATGGCATTCGTTGATAATGTCACATTCCTCTTCTTTTGATCGATTAATATCATAAATGGTTTGTCTACTACACCAAGTTGCCATTTCACTTGCTTTTTTTACTCCTTTTGTTAATTATGCTGCTATGTATAGTTTTAGGCTTATCTACATTTATTAGCTGTCTTACAATAGCCTTTGTTGATGAATTAGTGCTCTTGTATGGAGCACTAGTACGGACAGCATTACCATGCCGTTTGACTACAAACGGCCTCTCTACACCACTATCAAAGTAATATTGAACAAAAGCAACATTGTTCATTATATTGCCTCGTCTATCAATAGCATATGAAATGATTTTGTTAAAATCTTCGCACAAATTAAGACGCCTATACTTTCGTACTAAATGATATTGATCTGATGTTGTCAGAGTGTCCTTTTTGTTGGATAACATACTAACCTTCTGTACCTCAAAATCATCAATACTTTCTTCTTCTGTCTTCCAGGTGGATTCTTGTTCCCAAGCATGTATATGCCCCATTGTCATCTGATTCTAGATTACGAATCATCATCATCGGGTCTTGATCTCCAAGATCAATGACAAATGCTGCATTTTTCTGAACTCGGTATAAGGTTGCTTTTTTGACACTTTTGTCCAGTCTGGGCATAAAAGTTTTTCGAACACTTTCGACAGCGTTTGCTATTACCTTCGAGATATGCATGTGTATCCTCCTTTACCTCTGGCAAAAGGTCGAAAGACGCACCACTAAAAGGCAATGGGTCACAAGACGTAACGTGCAATGGGTCACAAGAAATACCGTCACCATTCACAGATGATGCTGCTTCGTCATCAGAAATCACAATCACGTCTGCTGGTTCCTTTTTTATTTTCGCATGGGAACTATAGAAGAAAATTTAATAAACTTGATACAGTTATTGATAGTTATAAACCCTTTAAGTTGCATTGCAACCTAATGTGCCATGCTTTAACTTGAATCTGTCTAATGCAAGATGATTTCACTTGTCAATGGGAGAGTGCTGCCTTTCAATGGGTTAATAATGGTAACTTTAAGAACTCCTTCATATTACTAACCTGTCTGTCAGACAATTTTTCCTTATTTTCTGGAACATGAACCTAAATAAAAGTATTAAAAAGACATAAATATTTAATAAGCAAATTTTCAGTAATTTACATATTGTTTTTAAATTGAGTACTGGCCAAAGCAAATTAGAACATAGAATTTGCTTTTCATGCTACAGATTACATATTGTATGCCTTTTCTAGGATTATGATATTTAAATAGGGCATAGTCTAGTTTTCTATCAACAAAAATATTTTCTGAGTTTGACGGCAACAGGAACAGTGACAACATTAGAGAGGCGCATAAGAGTGGCATCCCGAACAAAAAGTATTTGTGCACACCACATATTATGTGTACAGGTAATTATTCTCCTCAAGTTTCCATTAACTTTTCGACCTTTTCCTTTCTCTGTCTTTTCTTCTTCTTCTCGGTTTCTTCCACACATACTACCTCTATTCTTTTCAATTGTTTTTCTTTAGCTTATGCAATCGCTTTTCAGCTTTAAAAATCTAAAAAAAAACAAACGGAAACACACTATTAATTAAACAATTATTTAATGAGGTCAAGTAGGAGATGAGGAATTATTAAGGCCGAGGTTTGTGTTACAGGGTATCTGCCTCAGCCTTTGGCTGACGCAGATATCACAAACCGAGGCCTTAAAAATTCCTCATCACCTGTGAGAACCAATTCAAATTGGAAAATTGTGACAATAATTGTTTTATTAGTTTTTGTAAAACAAATAAAATGTTCACAATTTTTTGAGGAAAAACAAAAATCACAAAATTTTTGCTGTGTAAGTTCTTTAATTTTGTCCCAAAAAGTGCAGGAAATGGTATTCACGAACCTCAATTTTCAAAATTTTTCCGGGGGAGCATGCCCCTGGACCCCCTAGTTTTAACTTAAGACGTCTATGGTTTTAGCACTGCCCACCACGTGTGATACCTCCCCATGACTCCAAATATTTAAAACTGAACAACATATACAAGCATGGCCATCTTGTTGGTTTATATGAAATATGTAAATTGTGTTCTATTTATTCGATAACTTTTATAATTTTGACATAAAATAATAAGACGGTAAATTAAGAGAGGTAAATTGTCTTTAATATTAGTACCTTAAATTTGATATATTCATCGGAACTAGTCCCACTTTGACTTTCACTAGACGTGCTGTAATAGTAACGGATATCCTCAATTGCTCCTATCGTGAATGTTGCCTTCCTCCTTCATGGAAGGAGGCGGACGTAGTCGCAATCCCAAAGGAAAAATCTATTCAAGATATTAACAATCATTTGCGACCGATCTCACTTACACCGATATTGTCAAAACTGGCGGAAGATTTCGTTGTGAACCGTTATCTGAAACCAGCAGTGATGGAAAGGATCGATAAGAGACAGTTTGGTACTGTGCCTAAATCTTGCACCACACATGCCCTCATCTCCATGTTACATACCTGGACCAAAAATACAGACGGAAATGGCTCTACTACCCGCGTTATGTTGTTTGACTTTCGGAAAGCTTTTGATCTGATTGATCATAACATTTTATCGGAGAAGCTTACAAGATATAACATTCCTAAAACCATTATGTACCCGCAGGTGTCCCCAAGGCACGAAGTTAGGCCCCTGGCTCTTCGTAATAATGATAAACAATCTAAATGTATCTGGTGTTGACGATCTGTGGAAGTATGTCGACGATACAACTATATCTGAGTCCGTTAGTAGAAATGACTCAAGTTTAATCCAAAATTATGTAGACGAATTTGCCAGAAAGTCAATTGCAGATGGCCTCCAATTAAAAGAAACCAAATGTAAAGAGCTCCGGATAAGCTTTTCTAAGCCTAACAAAGTATTTGCCCATAACTATTAATGGTAAAAATGTTGAGTTCGTAACATCCACAAAATTACTGAGCCTTACCATCTCTAATGATCTCAAATGGAACACCCATATTTCGAATACTTGTAAAAAGGTATCAACACGGCTATATTTTCTAAGACAATTAAAACGTGCCAAATTGCCACCCAACGATCTGGTCCTGTTTTATATCACCTGTACTCGTCCAGTTGTCGAGTACGCGTGCGAAGTATTCCATAACTCGCTGCCGCAGTACCTGTCCGTTATTTAACGAAATAGCCAGCAACTCACATCATAACTTATACGACGTCCTTCCGCCATTAAATATTGACGATCACCTTTTAAGGAATCATAGAAATTTTGAACTTCCTGTGTGTAAAACGAACAGACTTAATGATAGTTTTATCATGCACAATTTAATATATATTTTAGATAATCGATTTGTTTTTTTTAATATTCTTAAATGTAAATAGCGTTCATAGCATATATTCCTAATATCTTATATCTGTTAAACTTAGCGTAATTCAGCTGTGAAATTTTCTGAGGCTGTAAGTTCTAAAGTTCAACAAACCATCTATCTCTATCTCTAATAAAAGACAAGGTTATTTTAGAAATAAATACAGTGGCCAGTATCAAACATCCTAGTCCAAAACCAAATTTTAACCACTAACCTTTCGCTTTCCTGCCCTTCCATCTTGATTGAACAGCGATACATGTATGAAAATACACTTCCACGTTCTATATTTATGTCATAATTTATAATAATCTGTGGTTTCCGCGGGAAAATTGCTTATTTTCGCGGAAAAAGTGCTTATTTTCGCGTGAGAATTGCTAATTTTCTGCATAATTAACGAATAAATTAAAGAATTGTTATGATTTATGTAGTTCCTGTAGTTCCTGTAGTTCCTGTAATTCCTGTCCGTGTTCCTGTAATTCCTGTAGCTCCTGTTCCTGTAGTTCCTGGGTTTCCAAACACCCTATTGCATGCCCTTTTATACAAACAAAATTTAAAAAAATTCCCTAAACAATAACGTAAACAATTGCGCTGATTGGTCGGTAATTCTCGCCCAATCACAATCTCGTACAGAGTAACCTGCGAACGGGCATACTCTGGTTAGCTTGTCGTTCGGTGATTGGCCGAGAACGAAATCGTGTGCGTGGACACGCGCGAGTCTTCCGGTCCGGAAGCCCATCCAGTTTTGGTGCGAAATTCTCATTCATTAAATTATTTCATTTGAACACTTCGAGTAAAGAACAACTTTGAACTTTACAAGGATTATATATTTTAATTGATATTACAATTTTGATGATTGGTATGATACTGTATTATATTCTCCGTTACACGACCAGGCTAAAAGGCAATTCTGACTCGCTATTGCCGATATAACTACTCACGCCACGGCGATCGACAACCCGGCGCTCGAAGTTTGGTATGGTGAATAAAAATGGCGTACTTTATATCAACTTATCAAACGCGAGGAAAGAATCAAAATGGCAGATATGGCTGTGATATCTTGTATATAAAATTGTATAGACAATTTGCCTACAATCAGTGACAAAATACGTGACCGGCAACTCGGAAAAGCTGAGATTCTTGACATAATCCCCCTCTTTCCTGTTCAACCTTGTTAGACTAAAATTGGTTAATTGGCATTTTATTTGAAGTGGTCTTGTGTTGTATTACGTTGCTGATAACTCTTCCAAAACACACAGCAATATTAGCGTCCTTAAGCATGAACGCGACCGCGACGGTAAAATAAATTATGGCAGCAGAAAACCTGTCGTCTATTATCCATCGTATGAAAATAATACAGTTTATGGATCAAAGTTAAAACAGGGTTTATGACTGAGAAAGTCCTACGACCCAATTAAAAGTAGCAGTTGTCCCAGTAGCAGTTGTCCCATACATAGCAGCACATGGTAACACACTGTCACACATAGTAACATATAATTACAGATATCACATTGAAACACATCGTCACACATAGCAACATATAGTCACAGATAGAAACGCATATCCAACACATAGCAACATATAGTCACACATACCAGCACATTGTCATACATTGCGCATTGAAACACATCGTCACACATAGCAACACGTCCTCACACATAGAAACACATACTTGACACCCGAACATATTCTACCACATTGTCATACATGGCAACACACCATCACACACCATCACACATAGCAACATATAGTCACACATAGCAACACATAGCACATTGAAACACGCATCACACATAGCAACATATTGTCACACATAGCAACATATTGTCACACAAAGCAGTGCATGCGGTAACGATGAATTATTCTGTACGTCCAAATGTAAATCGGCTAGCCTTGAAAACACGACTGCTCCAAACACTTTTGCCCTTCACGTGTCGCTGCTACCCATAGAAACTACCTGCTGGGTTTTAACAACTGAAAATAATCATGAGGAAATTAATTAGCAGGCAAAATTTACAAGCATTGACTGCAAGCAAATATAATCAGTTTATCATAAAACATTTCATGCACCTGCTTGTATCTCTTACTTGATATGTCCTAATTTTTTTCTGAAATAAGGGACGAAAAGTAAGATATAAGCGCAGGGGCGTAGAAAGCATCAAAAGATTGGGGGGCGGGCACCGGCTTCTAGGGGCACTTTAGGGTATTGAAAAGGGCACCTAAAAATTTTCCCCCGGAAATGTTGGCGACGGCGGGGGAATTTTCCCGCAGTTTATTTTACTACACCAATTATTTTTTAAAAACTTGGAAATTTCCAAACAAAAAGGGCACCTTAATTTAGTATTTACAGCGACATTAGCTTCTACAAAAAGGGCATTTTCATCACAAGAAAGAGCACTTTTCATCACAAAAAAGGGCACTTTTTGTCCTTTGGAAAAAATTGGGGGGGGGGAGGCACGGTGGGCACGTGCTCCCCCCGGTTCCTACGCCCTTGTATAAGCGACGAAAGGTG